CTGAGGAACGAAATTTCCATTGGCAATAGAGCAGGCATCCTTGCATATTGGGTGAGCTCCAGGAAAGATAAATTTGGCTCGAATGGACAACTTCAAGGATGGAAGATCAGTAAACAAACTACATGTTTTAGATTATATAATTATGTTTATTGGAAGGCTATGATGGTTGCTTTTCTCAAATATTTGAAAAATAAAGGCAAAATACTCATTTTGGTCCCTTAACTATACCATTGGGTTCACATTGGTCCCTTAATTTTTTTTTGGTCATTTTGGTCCCTTAACTTTCAAAATGTTTCATTTTAGTCCTTTTTGTCTAATTAGCGACAGATTTAGTGACGTATTTCAAAGTTTTTCCGTCGCTAATTAGACAAAAAAGGACTAAAATGAAACTTTTTGAAAGTTAAGGGACCAAAATGACACGAAAAAAAGTTAATGGACCAATGTGAATCCAAGGGTATAGTTAAGGGACCAAAATGAGTATTTTTCCAAAAATAAAATATGGAAAGTTGTTATAAGAGGATGGAAACATCTTGTGGTTACTTCTAAATATGGCACAACTAGCTTGAAACCAGAGGCTGATTGGACCAAAGCTGAAGATGATGAAGCCCTTGGAAACTCCAAGGCTCTGAATGATATTATCAATGGGGGTGGACGAGAACATGCTCAAGTTGATCAACACATGTTCAAATAAACATCAACCATGAACAATATGAACCAAACATCATAGATTCAATATTTGTACTCTCGCTTTTCATAAGGCATAAACATATTTTAGCAATTAAACATTTATACTCTCGCCTTTTCACAAGGCATCAATATATATTATCAATTCAACATATATGCTCATGAATATTAAAACTCAAGAATAGGCATACAAGTTTACATGAAAAAAATCAACAATCAGCAGAGCATAAAAATCATATCACATCACAACGCTTTAGAGAGGTCTTGTACAAACCTTCTCAAACTTCAAAACCCTCATAAATGGGGGAAAAGAAAAGAAAAAGAAAAAGGATAAGGGATTCTCTCTATTCTTTATGCTTAAACATCCATATCATGAATAGACCACTCCTTACCTCGAATTCGCAGAAAGGTTGAAGCCACGACAATATAGTTCATCTTCGCCTTCAAAAGCTCTCCTAAGGTTGTCTCTCTCCTTAGCCTTTTTTCCCAAAATCCTATGTACCTACAATTTCTCTCTTCCTTTCTCTATTTAAATAAAAACCCTACTTTTATTTCTATTTTAATTATTTCTACAAACTGCTCTCAACTCCCACTAATTGCACTCACCTCCCTTATTTTATTAAAACTCTATTCTAATGTCCAAAACTCAATTTCTCACATTTTTCTATTATTTAAAATATTAAAAAAATATAATTAAATTCTAGTTTTAATAATAAATTATTATTTCTCACTTCCACACTAATTTAAATATAATAAAACTCTATTAAAAAATCAACAATTTAAATAAAATAATTCAATAATTCAATAATACTCTAAAACTCAATTAAAAGTAAAATAATCAAAATTTGGGGTGCTACATACAATGCTTTGATGGCGGCTTGGAGGTCGTAAAGTCACTTCAATGATGTAGTCACTCTGGTGGGGATCGACTATGGTATCACGGCAAGATTGTCATGTGAATATGCTCCTTATTATCTCTTGTGGAGGCGCTTATTAGAAGTTTTCTCCAATTCTCAAGATCCTGCCTACTAGAAATTGGGAGTCACCAAGTTGTGCATGTTGCTCAACAGGTCAGTGGCTCTCTGCATGCCTGGGTTAGCTTGCAGCAATTGGAGACTAGGAAGCTTATCTTGTCTGACAAAGTGTAGGAGGTTGGAAAATCTTGGAATTCTCTCAGGTTGATTCTTGGAGGAGCTAAATTTGGCGATGTTGGTATAGAGGAGGAGGTCGCTAAGACTGGATTGTCCCTCTCCAACTGAGGAGGATGAGCTTTGCTAGCTTCAACAACTGTTTTGTCAGATCGTGTGACATTTGAATTCACCATAGCTTCAAGATTATGATGTCACATTGTTCGAAAAAAGATAAGTGTAATCAAGGAAAGAGCCAAAGATTTAGATCTACAAGGAAAAAATGTTAGTTCTTTGATCAATTCGTAGGAGTCAGAAGTCAGAAGTCATTTCTCACAAACTGTGTCAATATTCCGCTTTGGAAACGTGAATGATTGGTGAAATAATGAGATGAGATTTTGGATCGGTGCAACAATTTTTCAGTGCAACAAAGAAAAGACTGACCTGCAAGATTAGTACTCCAACATTCAAGATGGTGAGAGAATAATGATTGATGTGAGAGTAAGAATTGATTTGAATCCCTGAAATAACGCATTTTCTTTCTTATATAGAGTGAACTGTTAAAACTGACTGCATTTTCTTATATAGAGTGAACTGTTAAAACTGACTGCATGAGAAAATACATGTTATACGGATGACCGTTAAATTTAATCAGACGGTGATCGACATGTTTGAAGGACGGGATCCTCTACCCTTGATGAAATGAGAGATGACATACTTCGACATGTTTGGGGGACAGGATCCTCTACTCTTGGTGAAATGAGAGATGACATACTTCATGCTTCATGCGTTCTTTTGCTAAAAAGTGCTCTTGAATTCCTTGCTATGCGCCTTGGGAACGGTCTCGAACACCAAATGCGGTAGCTCCTTTGTTTAGTGAACTAGCAATTCTTGAAGGTGGTCCAAGCTAAACTAAAATTGTTGTTCCAAAATATGTATTAAGTGGGTAAGAACATGTTATGCCTATGACTAATCCTAGTTAACCAATCTTTAAGGCCGTGCAAATCAATGTTACCTCTATGGCAAAATTTTCTTTTTATAACATAAAAACTATTCTGTTATTACTTATTACAAATACACTCATTTTTTAGGCTCTAAAATAGTTCCCACTTTAATTATATCTTTTACCAAGTCTATCAAAAATGATCATGCCATGTATAGATAAACATTATTAAGTGTAAAACAACAAATACGATTCTAAAGAAAACGAATAAATAAATCCACACAAATAAATACACATTACTAGTATTAAAGAAGAGAGAGAAACATGACAAAAATCATGGAGAAAGATCATCCACAGTGGCCAGGCTAGGTTTCCATCCCAAATCCCTATATAGTCTTGCCATTGGAAATGGTGCTACAAAAGGTTTCTTCCCTTTTACTATTCCCTTTCTTCTTGAACATCTTGCTGACTTATCCTTTGAAACATAAAACTCATTTGCAGTAAAACAAGATTCATCTGCATCATCTCCACCTTGAAACATATCCACCTTTGCATTCACTTTCTCTTGACCTACCCTATTTGTCTCCTTAACCCCACCCTTCTCATTGATTCTGCATTCATTAGCAGGTAGTAGTATATTTACTGCATTTGGCGTACTGAGTTTGATATTCTCTTTGGTTTTATCTTGGTGATGATGTTTGCGCTTCACCTTGTTCTTTCTTCTTGGATTTTCATTACTGTGCTCCACTAGGCCTAAGGAATGAATAACACGCTTCAGCATAGTCTCCAATGTTTCATCCTCGTCTGTAGCAACAAATTAATGGCATGAGGAAATTGGAATAGTTATAAGAACTATATATATAATACAAGTGTGTATTGTAACTTCTTATAGCCAGTTGCATATGTCTTGAAATTTTCACCGCCCTATAAGATAATAAAGAAAGTTTCTACTTAGATGAAGTCTTTAGAATGAGAACAAAAGTTTTTCTTGACAAGAAACATACAATCTTCCTCAAACTTAACGTCATGGCTTGATGTTGTGTCAACTTTGTGGTACGTTCTTTTGTTTATTAATTTGAGGTTGTTTCACACATGAAAACTGTAAATGAAGACAAAATGGACATGTTATTATGGGTTAGGTGGACAGAAGTATACAGTAAGACTTGGTTTGGTTCGTGTCATCCAAGTATAGTATTCCAGCTGCAAGATACTAGAATAAGCACCTGAAAAAACACTTGGAAATTTAATTTTGACAAAAGGGTTTTCCGATAAACATTTGAAGATTTAATTTAGCTGTTCCAATAAAGAGTAAATGCCCAAACAGTTCTTAAAAAAACCAGTGGGTACAATTACAAAGTGTATGAACTTGCAATAGTCAATAATGATCAACTTCTCTGCATTCAGTATAGTAGGCAGTGGTATGTTTTTTTGGTCAAAACTTGCAGATGCTGTCTATGAACGTTACACGAGACAACAGATCCTATGGATTTCTTATATCTAAATCATAATTTGTAAGGTTATGATAGATTGGAAGTTACAATCTAGTTAAACAATTTTCTATAATTCACTCAATATTAAAACAATACATAAAAAAATATAAAAATTGGAAGTTGCCTTTCTGTATTTCTACAACTCACAACACAACAAATATAAAAAGTGTTGCCCTGGAAAAGTAATAAACACATTCCATGTAATAGCTCTTCCTTAACATTAAAAGTTCTCGATCAATGGAAATAAGACTATAAATATTGAAGAGTTCTTAAAACTCATTGTTTAGACTTCAGCTTGACAATGAAGAATCATCAAACATGGATTAAAAAAAGTCTATTTTGGTCACTCTACTAGAATGACAAATATTAGCATTTTGACTATACCCCCTCCAATTGACCAAACAAATGTGTTCTTACAGTTACAGGTGAAAGTTGCCACAAGCACAATACTTTTGAGGTCCGACGAACATTTACTTGAATGAATATTTCCCCCTTATCAAAACCTTATTTTGCAAATAAAACAAACATATCCACAAGTTTAATACTTTTGCCTCTGCCTGAGATGAGAACTTGGTGGTGTTATATCCTCCCTGTGCATTTTGAACTAAAACTCATGCAGCTTCCATCTTTTGCTGAACTTTTATCAAACTTTTCGTATAAATATTATGAATACATGGGTCAGCAGTAAAAAAATTGTTGTGTGACCCACTATACTTCCTTTTAAAAGAAATTGAATATCTGCTGTGGAAACAAAGATCACTCCATCGAATCAGCTTGTTTTCTAGTCAACCGAGCATATAAACCGTCTTTCAAGAGAAGTTCCCTGTGACTTCCATTCTGAGAGGCAGATGTTGGTCACAAACATGTTTCAGGTTAAGGCAAAAAAAGGATAATAGAAAAGTAAAATAAATTTAAAAACTTAGTTTTCCATTCTGACACATTAAGTCCAAATAGCTCCATAAATGCTTGCAAATTTAAAGATACTTTAGGGCCTGTCTGAATCGGATCATTTAAAGATGTCCATTGTTAAGAGTGTCTCACATCGAAGGAGAAATGACCTGAATAATTGTTTATAATTGATAGCACTCATCACCTTTCAAGCCGGTTTTGTAAGGTTGAGTTAGACTCAACCACAATTCTAAGATGATATTATTAGAACCTATCCAAGATCCGTTTGGCCACACTCAACCACAATTCTAAGATGGTATTAAAACCTATCCAAGATCCGTTTAGTCACTTGTTATCATATTTCCGCTATCGGGTTATCCACCATTTATAAGTGGGGACACTCCTCACCTTACAAGCTGACTTTTAAATGTTGAGTTAGGCTCAACCACAATTTTATAACCCATGAACTATTTTCAGTTATTTCCATAAGCTCTTTGGGATAACTTATATGAAAACAACTTATAGTTTATATGAAAAACAGTTGACTTTATTTTACCTTGTTAACAAAATAAATATACACAAGATATACACGAGCAATAATATATGATAAATGTATATGCTATAAGTACTTAATCAAACTGCTTATCCAAGCAGGACCGATGAAGGCAACTTCCCTTGTGAAATATGACTGCTCAAATTAAGTTGTCTATTCATAACCCCCGATAAAGATACAGCAATAGTGATTGTGCTTATGGCCCTATCCATCATGACCCAGCAGAAAAGTTCGAGGAGTCAAATTTTAATTTAAAATAACAGAGAAAAGTTAAACATTGGACTCAAGTTTTCAGGTATGAGTTTATGATGAACAAAAAAAAAGGTGATGAAAATATCAAGGGTTAAAAAGGAATATCAGTAAGAATATTAGGGCATTGAAAACAAATAAAAAATCACCAACCTCAACAATTTGACCCCTATCCATAACCACAATCCTGTCAGCAGCTTGTATGGTAGAAAGCCTGTAAAAGCAGGTCACACATTTCAAAACTAATACTGCAATATCAGTACCACTTAATGGGCATTGAACCAAAGTATCACCTGTGTGCAATGACTATGACACTTCTCCTTGATGTAGAATCACTTCTAACAGATCGAAGAACACCCTACATGTAATGGAAACTAAAGCATCAATATCTTCTTTTATTATTTATCACACTTCATATTTATTGTTTCTAGTTGCTATCTGACTTTTAGTAGTTTTCATTTTCTATAATCTTTCATACCTTCACGTTATGTTCACTTTCAGCATCCAATGCACTAGTGGCTTCATCAAGAATCAATATTTTTGGGTCCCTAAGAATGGCCCTAGCGATAGCAATTCGCTGCTTTTGTCCGCCACTTAAAAGATCATCATCAACAAGTGTTTCATAACCATTAGGAAGTGCTGAGATAAAGTCGTGAGCATAGGCCTGCTTCGCAGCCCACTCAATATCCTCCTGCTTTACATCTCGGGTACATCCATATCTGATGTTCGAGCTAATATCCATCCGGAATAGCTTTGGTTCCTGTACAAAGAAAAATTCGGTTATAAGGAGCTATGTTGATTCAATGAATTTTTTCGTTTTTAGTTTCTGAAGTACCTGTCCCACATATCCGATTCTCTCTCTCCACCACATGACATCCAAGTCTTTATGAGGGACACCATCTACCAAAATCTGCAATAAAACACTTAATATTCTGCTTATCTTGGCTAGATTCATTTTAGTTAAAACTGTCTTGGTTCAATCTCAGCTTTAAGGAGATAAACAAACTCTACCTGACCACTTGTAGGCTCATAGAGACGGAGCAAAAGATTCACCAATGTGCTTTTTCCGCTGCCGCTAAGACCAACCTATGCCAAATGAAGAGAACTAGCAGATTAGTCTATTAGCCATTATGCAGGGAAGGAATGAGTTCAAGAGACTCGGAGCAATTTCTTACAATGGCAACCACCTCGCTAGGATTGACAACAAAGTTTACATGTTGCACTACAGACACCTGTCACAATTGAACGTCACTAATTGAGCTTGTATAACAGACAATGATAAAGAGTACCAAATATACAAGCTGTCAACACTAAAAAGTACCAAATATACAAGCTGTCAACACTATGAGTCGTATGGGTTATCTCTATGAGGCTTACCGTTGGCCTCGAAGGATAGTGAAAAGATACATTTACAAACTCCAAATGCCCCGTTAAACTTTGCAACCTCATTCCTGTAGCAAAAATTAAATCCAACCTTCAATATATTTGAATACAACAAAATAAGAACTGGTACGTGGTAGTTCATCTTGTCTATCATCTGAGCTTCTCTTTTCTATTCTTGGTTATATTATATGATACTACAGATAGACAACTAGAGTTATATATAGGTGGTAACTTGGTAAAGTCAAATGAAACATGAAAAGGATTAAATCAATAAGAAGCTTTTTACTAATGAAATAGCCGAATGGAACATAGCTCTTAAAAATGCTTGCCTTCTGTTATAAATTGGCTGCTAGGCAAGAGATCCATTAAGTTGAACACTTTCTCACTAGCTCCAACTGACTGCATCAAATTGGATATATTGTCACCCACCCACCAGGTTGAATAAATTAACCATTCACTGTATAGTATAAACTTAGTAAGTTTCTCTGCTGTAATATGACCCGCTAGAATAGACATTCCTCCAAACAGCACGGCAATAACCTATAACAATTAAATGTTTCAATAAAAGCAAAAGTCAAGTACAAAGGTTTAATTGAACTTAGAAAAAATGTTGATTATTAATTCTAGAATATTGTTTATTCGATATGTCAGATCATAGGTTTAAAACATATAAATAAACAGAAAACACCACGATCCATACCTGAGTTGAGTGATAAAGAGTGTTGAAGTTAAAATTCCAAAATCCATATGCAGCGCTTTGTCGCAAGCTTATGTCTGCTAATTTTTCCAGCCACAATTTGTACCTGTAGTTAGAGATGAACAATATGCATGAATAGAGCAAAAACAATGGGAACAAATGAATGGACAATAAATGTTATAGTTGCAATAGCATTATCACCTTCCCTGTTCTTCTTCTTCTGTTCCATAAACACGAACAGTTCTAATAAGAGAGAATGTCTCTTGAGCTACCTACGATTCAATGTTGAGAAAATTGTGATCAAGGTGACAATTTGTAAAAAAAATCAAAACAAATTATTGTAGTGTAAGGCATCTTATTCTACATTATTAGCAGAAGCAGTGACTTCTTGGATCAACCTTGCTGCCTTCTTCTGGTACCTATGAAGAAATACGTAATCAAATTAACAGCATTGCTCATATAATTTGCACTAGTCAACTGTAAGCCACAAAAAATGCAATATCAAGTTTTTAAATGACAAATTTGAAGAAAATCAACCAATAATTACCTTCCATAACGTAACATGACCGCTGCTAATATGGAGCATATCACCAACGTACATAAACCAAGTGGCCAAGACAAAATCAATAAGTAGATTAATGAACCTCCTCCCTAGGATGACGGAAAAAAAAACAATTAAAGCCTCCATCAAGCATGATAACTTCTATTAGAATTACATATTTCGTAAATAAATAAACCTGAAGGACATTGCGCAATATCAAGTTAAGATCATTTCCAATAACCCTTGAAACTTGCTGACAATCTGCCCCAAGTCTACTTGTCAAATCTCCTACTGTTTCATTGTCAAAAAATGATATATCCTACAATAAGGGCACTATCAAATGTGTTAAACCACGCACCAAATAAAAAACTAAATGCAGCAAGAGAGATCAGTTATTAAGTGAAGCAGAACCTGAAGAAGGAGGGAAGAGTATAATGTTTCTCTCATTCTCTTAACCTGCACATATAAAAAAATTGTACCATAGTTGAATAAAACCCTAAAAGTCAAATTCAATGGGGACAGAAGCCTGCAAATGGTCGTTGCTCAAGTACAAAACAATCTTGGTCTGATAATTATATTCTTAGTGTCTTTATGGTTTTCGAGTCCATTTGACATTAATTATCTAGTCATATCAACAAATATCAGTACTCACCAGAATCATGTTTGCAATGCCAAAAAAGCAACCTCGAATCCCACTGAAAGACAGGAAAACTCTTGTCAACTTGTGTCAGAAAACCTTACAATTCACTTGAAGGATAAAAGAGCTTCAAACTAAACATTACAACTCACTTGAAGAATAAAAAAAGTTTCAAACTAAACAGAACTTAAAACATCTTTAAAATATACTTAACAAGTCAATCATCTGCGATATGATTGATCTTAACACTATAAATACCATTAGAATCTCATAAACCATAAAGCATTATCTACAACTGGAAAACCACACAAATGCAGTGTTTTTGACATATTTAGGTTTTCTGAATTTTACGCAGCCATGCATCTCTCACCATCCCATTAATAATAGACGCCTTGTGTTTCAACGGCATATTTTGAATCCAACTCACCAAGTTGAAATGTGAGTCATCTGATTCCTAGTTGCCTCACAAACTATGAAGCATGGTCACTAGGTCCATATGCCTTCGACCTAAAGTGTTAGTGTTGCATAGGTTGTGATTGTTTCCCAAATGTAGGGAATACTAATTATTGTTTGGACGTACTGCCTTCTTTTTTGTATTAACCCTCGGGTGTCTAGAAGGGCCATCCCCTTTTTTAGTTTAACCAAAACGTATCATTTTCTTCAGTTATACCTGATCTAATCTACATTTAGTACTAAACATAGAACTGATGTCCAGCAAACACAGTCAAAAAGGCAGAGAGAATGATCTACTTTTTTTGTCTATAGGCGAAGTGGTAATAACCACTCGAACCATGGTGATGGCGTCCAACCTAGCAATATAAGCCAGTTGAGCTAGGATTTGCGGACAGAGTGATCAACTTTAGGCAAAGCAAAAAGTGTATCAAAAACTAAAAAAGGCCTAAAGCAAACAGCAATTAAGAATCTACGAAAATTAACAGCCAGAAGAAGGAAAAACGAGATGTTATGAGAGTGAAAGGTATAAGAGAGATTTGACCATACAAGATTTTGACCTGCATATTCCAGAAATACCACACAAGAGAATCAATAACCGCACATTCCTATGAAAAACCGTAGTATCCCCACCCTGAGCTGAGAATATTGAAGCTGTCAAAAAATGTGGTATTGAAATCTCCGAAACCTGAACAAACAAGCAAACCCAAATAACAAAAGTTCACAAATTTCATCAAACATATTCAAGAGAAACTCGTCCAAGAAAAAGGGAGGGTTACGTACTGCTGCAATGATGAGAGCAGCGAAAGCAGCGAAAATGACCCATCTATCACGAGCAACAAGGTTCCACATTTTACCCAAAGCGTACCAGACCGTAACCGGTTGACCGAAAATCGAAGCATCCACCTCATCGGAGAAGTTCCACCAGGCTCCTCCGGGAAAAATTGAAGGAAGGAACTTAACCAATTCTCGTATTCTGCCGAGGACTTCATCAGAAATACTGGAAGCTTCTGGATTATTCTGGACGGAGACTTCGTTGATGGATGCTGACTTTAACGGAGATGGTAAGAGAATGCGCTTAGAGTAGGATAGAGCGATTCGATTTGCTGCGAAATTGAAGCGGTTGTTGGAGGAGACTGTGATTAGAGGTTTGAAGCGGTGGTGGTGGTGGTGGATTGGTGGTGGAGGTAAGTAGGGGTGTGTGCCTGTGAGTAGTTGAGGCATGGCGGTGGCAGAGAAGTTTGGAGGAAGAAGAAGATTAGAGATTGAGAAGAGTGGTTTGTGGTTCGTGTGAATCAGAAGGGGCAATGGAGTTGTTGCGGTTAAGCTTTCAATTCCAATGCTGAGATTTTTCTTTGTAGTAATTCTTTCTCCTACCACACACAATTGATCACATGTGCATGAATCATTGTTGTGGATGCGATTTGGGTTTGGACGTTTGGTTGATACTAGGGAGGGAAAAAATAGTAGATTCCCAAATTGCCCTTGTTTTCTTTTACTAGGTTGGAAATATTTAGGATTGGTCTTCTGGAGTTTATAGTCTAGCCTATTAAAACCAAGTCGGATGAGGTCTATTTAATAAAAATGTTAGATTTGTATTTTTTTTTTAAGTCTATTTAATTAAATAGGTCAAGTTATATTATTTTTTATACATATATATATATATAGGCTTTCAGGTCATGTCAGACTTTTAAAAAGGTCAAGTCAGATCCAAAAAAATAGTCTATAAAAGGTCATAACTAGGCTCAGGCTCTTAAAGTTTATCGTAGACCAGACTTGGGCCTTATAAAGCCTAGCCTAATGTTAGTCAGGATTTTCGAAAAATGTCAAATCCAGCTAAAAAGAATAAATATGGCCAGAAGCGACGTGAGAAGTATTAGAAAAAGAGAATGATCAGGAGCGCGAACTCAAAATAAATAATTTATGAATGATGAGAAGGTCAAGTCGACACAAAACATGGTGGCGACACGAAGACCCTGTTCTCAATAGGCAGTTATGAGAAGACAGGCACGGGAAAAGACTACCTCTTAGTAGGGTTTGAAACATGGGAACGTGTGAAAGACAAATTGAGGAATTAGTGGACACGTGACGCTCATAGAAGATGAACTCGCCAAAGGACCAGTTACCTTTTTTGTACTATAAATAAATCATTGTAAATGGATTTAAAGGCGATTCAAACTTACTCATATCTTACGCAAACACTCAGAGTATCCAAGCAAAGAGAAAAATGAGTCAAGTAAAAGCAATGTATGTTTGAATCGCCAGTTTTCTTTCATGTCAAGCAAATTTACTTTAAACTTTATTTAAGCTTTGAAAATCTATTTTCTTAAACTTTTTTAGTCTTTTTAGCTTTATTTATCATTATGCAACATAAGTTGATTTCACACCGTGTCAAATTCATTCACACTCATCACATTTCTATCTCAAAACACTTAAAAGTTTAAGCATTATCCTGAAATTCACTAGTCGATCTCACAAAGCAACCTTTAATAAGAGACTAGTGTTGTTTACCAATTTCCAAGATAAATAAATTGGCACGCCCAGTGGGACAGTGCTAAGAATCTTTGTTGTTGTTTTGTTATTTGCATTATTGTATCGGTGTACATAGGCCATGCATGAATTTGAGAAGTGGAAAATAATTGTCTAAAATGTCACGTTCGAGCAAAGACACGGACACTTCAGACCCTCCATAGAATACTTCACTAAATATGGATGTCATACCAGTGGCGACCATAGTACAAGGTGTAACAATTTTGTCCCATGTTCGAACATCAGTTACTAGTCCAGCGACAACAGTCACAACGAGACTAGGATATAGGGAAGGACCACCTCTTAACCCCACAAGAGCGATATTCCAAGTATGATCAATTCCTCTAGGACAGTACCAATACGGTATGCCTCAGTCGATGATGATTAGTCTTCAGTCGAATGTATCAACTTATGCTGATAATATGATGGCTATCAGGCCGCCATCTTTTCATTATCAAAGTATGCTTGTTGTAACCACAAACACTAGTGGTCGAACATGGGGGAATAAGGTATATTCCCCAGACAGCACCAACGTTGAATACGACTTCAGTGATGGCGTTAAGACATCAGATGACGAAAGTAATCTCGAGTTAGTAAATAATCTAACTCAACAAATGGCTATCATTTTTAACCAAATGGTAGATCAAATAGGTCGGCTGCTTGATTCGTTTGATGTTCAACCAGTGCATATACGCCAAAGTCCTGTGAGGCTGAATGTGAGGCAAATGGAAGTAGAATAAGAGGTATTGCCTCCAGTAGTCCATGAATTGCTTGCTAGGTTTAAAGTACAAGAACCTATTATTGATGAAGAAGAAGAAGAATAGTATGTAGATCAATGCGAACCTAGGTCGTTCTTAGTGCGAAGAAACCAATATGTGGATCGCGTCCTTATGAACATGAACAATCTCGCAGGATGGAACAACATAGCGGTTATAGTCGAAGAAGTGTTAACACGAAGTGGACTTAATGTTGGTATGCACATGCCAAATTATACATCTATTGTACCCCAAAATTTTCCTTCTCATTTTTCTTCAAGACATGCTCACAAAGATCTCAAGTACTCAAAGTTACTAAAGGGTTGACTAGTCAAACCTCCTCCTAAACAATGGGCCCACAACTAGAGTTTCATCTTACACAAGGAAGAATGGGTTTCAAATACCTCAAATGGTTTTCATGGTTCATCATAGGTCTTAAACAGTGTTCATGACAAGTTTCAAGTCTTGCATCACAAGTTTGCTCAGTCAATAGCTCAGATGATTGAAAATCAACTATATTAGGTAAACAGTCAAATATGGTCAACTTATAGTCAAACTTCAAGATCGTTGGTCAACATAAACATTTTGAAGTGATATTCATCATTTGATCAAGGGTTGATCATGATTCCTCGAGGAAAACCCTCAAATCTTCAAAAGTCCATAGTTGCCAAATTAGGGTTTCCTTAGGAGAAGTCAACTGAACTTTGACCAAGCATAACTTTCACATGCTACATCAACTTTTTCCTAACCAAAGCCCATTTTGAAGGAAATTCAATTCTCTACATCTTTGTATGTATTCTCAAGTCTAAAAAGTGCTTCATTTGAAAGATGTGAGCTAATACATTACAGGTCATTTCAAAAGTCAACAAAAATACACTTTTTGTCAAGGCGACTTACATCAAGATAAAGTCTCCAAATGCAAAAATGATCAAAATATAAAAATAAGAGGACATCTTGAGATTTCCAAAAAGTCAAAGATCAACTTCAACAAATGAAAATTGAGAGAGTTATGACCAGTACAAGTTGGGAAAATTTGAGGAAATGCATAAAGTGCAAAGTGAGCGAACTTGAAATTTTGAACTAGTGGGCCTAACTTTTGATGTGAAAATATGTTCAGGAGGAGTTAGAGGACCTCTAAATACATTCACATATTTTTTATGATTTTTATTTCTTTTATTTGAATTTTTATTCATTTAAATGCAAATAAAGTCAAATAAAAAAATGAGATAATAGTATGAGGGCTTGGGCTTTTGTTTCAATCATCTAGAGGCCCAATACAACACAGGCTAGCCTGTTACAAGTCATGCCAAAACGGTGTGAGATGAAGAAGGCAATAAATATCTCAAATTTAGAAGTTTTTAAAAGTGTTTAATTTTTGTCTAGTATGGCCTTGATTGCAAGATCCTTCCCTTGTTTGTTGCTCCATTTCACTTATCTATATAAACACAAGAGGTCAGCATCAAAAGGACATGAGTTGATGCCTCAAAGAAAGCTTGCCAAGTTCTCAAAATTATTCAAAGAAACCTAGGTTTCAAAACTAGTGTTACGGGCCTTATCGTCCCAAAGTTTCAATCTTATTCCTTTCCTGGAACATTAAAGTGTAAATTTGGATCGATCATGATGATCCTGCACGCATGAAATCGCATAGCATAGCCTTGTCGGTTCCATGTTTTTTTAAAATCATATTTGTTATCTTGTTATATTTTAAATTGATTTGATGTTTCTAACGTGATCTTAAGCTTTGTTTGAACATGTTTAGATCATTAACATGGTCCCATGCACGCTGATATGTGCCATTTTCTTCTCTGATCGGTGTAACTTGATTCGAAACACACAATCCAATAGCTTTTAGTCAAAACTAAGACCGAATTCGGATTCAGGAGGGCCGAATTAGGGGGGCATGGTGTTCTAAAACCTTAAAAACTGATTTCTACGTGTTTCACATCTTGCAGGTTGTCAGAGAAGAGGATCAGAGCTAGGGCTCCAATGCCTCTCTGACCATTAGTGTTTTGCTTCATTTTTTTATTGTTTGGTTATAGGAACAGATGAAACAACTGTCCCAATGATAGAAGCAAGTGCGCAAAGGCATTGGTATACCAGGGCACGGGTTCGAGCCATGTCCCTGGTATATTTTGTTTTTATGTTTTCTTGTTCACAAATTCAATGTAAGCAGGTCAGCGTGTTCACCATACATCTTCATGCCATTACCATCATATCTCAACCGATCCAAATCTAGCGCTCCAGATCTGAGCACTCATGATAGTCCTCATTGGAGAGATGCACAGGATTTTGAAGGCCTCCCTCCAGCGCCTGGGCCTAAGTTATTGGGCTTAGATGATTTATGTTCCCATACCCCACAATTTTCTTCTACAACAGGCCCATTTACTTTTTTTATATTATTTTGCATTATTTTGTTTAATTATTATTTTTATCAAAATAAAAACACAAAAAAAATATTTTAAATAAATAATTAAATTGATAAAGTTTTATTTAATATTATTAATTATTTTATTTATTTTATTAATTTTATTAAATAAAATGATTTAATTTAATTAGTTATTTAATTAATTAATTAGGTTTTCTAGTTTTAAATTAATCAATTTCTTTCTTAATTAAGTAAAATTAATTAGTTTTTTAGATTAATCAGAAATATTTCTTTTTCATAAAAAAACAACAAAAAACAATTTATTTTCCCGTTTCTCGTTTTACCGCTTCGCGTACTTTATTTTTGCATTAGTCTTTTTCCCAAATTATGTAATTGCTAATGGTTTGTAATAGTTCTAACTAGGGTTTACTTTACTTTTTTCCCCGTTTTATAGTTTTGTATCCCCTTCCCCGAAGCTCTGTAATAGTCTAGATTTATTTTTCACTATTTATTGCTTTCCTTATTACTGCTAGTTTAATAGGATTGTATGGCAGAGACTAAAAGCAAACGCTAGA